GACGCTATATAAACCGCTCCACACGGTTAATATAATGTGAGCGGTTCCTTAAAATAAATGTTACTAAAATGTTATGATTTTTGAAATTTCTTTGTTGCTCAGCTCTGAAATTATACTACAACAATTATTCGCCTCAGGTTCGGTGAATATTGTCGAATAATCCCCTCGACTTCGTCTCGGGGATTATTCGACGATATTCACCTCGCCTTCGGCGAATAATTGTTAACTAGTTTAATTTCTGTGGTGATTAAAGAGATGCACAGGCTCTGATTGATTGAGGATTATGTCATATCTAGCTCTAATCACCTCACATGAGGTGATTATAGCAGAGGCACCAGATTTCAAAATGGCTGCTTTGCATTTTGTCTATGTTACACAGAGGTGATAGCCACAACAGAGCACAAGAGATACTACTAAGTTTCGCATAACACTTTTCAAAAGAAAGATGTGAATTTTTTGCTGATTAATTCAATAAACCTGTTAAATTCGATCTCCGCCACATTGTCCCCTTTCCAACTCGTGGGCAAAGTAAATTAGATCTAGTCTTCACCAATCTCAGCGCCTTTTACGATGTGCCCAAAAAGTTGCCTCCTTTTGGGCTCTCCGACCATGATACTGTGGAAGTACAGCCTCTGGCTAGACAGGACGGTCCGAGGAATAAAATCCTGCTGAAATCCAGAGACTTGGGAACAGCAAATCGTCTGGCCATGCGGACTTACCTCGATGAGGTCGACCTTGGTCGTCTGGTAAGATGCAAAGAGCCATGTGAAGAGAAAACACTCGCGCTTGAAACCATAATTAAGACGGGCTTGGATTCTGTTCTCCCCATTTAATCCAAGACGATCATTGCCAACGAACCACCATGGATTAGCAAACAATTGAAATCTTTAATTCACGAGCGTCAAATAGCCCTTGCTCGTGGCGATAAAGATTGCTTCCGCCGCCTTCAGAACCGTGTTAATCGCTAACGAAAGTCTTGTCGCGCTAAATACTATGAGTCCAAAGTCGAACATCTGGGGGACTACGAACCGCGTAGGTGGTGGAAAGAAGTTAAATCACTTGGCGGGATGGAATCACCTACGCGCACAGATCCTACCTCTGTCGTGAAGCATATTGATACAGGGCCTGACTCTAGTCGTACGGCCCTTGCTAACGTCATTAACAATGTACCTTTCTTGCTCCAATGAACTCTTTTACTCCATTGGATTCTGGAGTCTCGTTTGCTGTGCAATACACCGACACGCCAACGGTTACTGAGTTCAGTGTCTTGAGGAAGCTCATCGCCCTTAATCCTGTCAAAGCTTCTGGGCCTGACGGCGTGCCTAATCGACCACCAGATTTTGGTCAAGAAGCTGGGTACATATAACATCCCCAATGTTGTCATCTCATGGATTATTGACTTTTTCACCTCGCGCAAACAGCGTGTTAAACTCGGCCACGACCGCTTCTCAGAATGGGGCGCGGTCCCAGCGGGGGTTCCTCAAGATACAAAACTGTATCTTGGGGCCGTGGCTGTTTATCATCATGATCAACGAGCTGGATGTTCCTGGCATCGATCTCTGGAAGTATGTTGACGATACCACTATTTCGGAGACGATAAGAAAGAACCAAGACAGTCACATTCAAGCTGCTGCTGACACCCTAGCAAGCCGTGTGACCGAGGATAAGTTTCAACTAAACGAGACGAAATGCAAAGAGCTGCTTATAAACTTTAACACTAACAACCCTACCTCTTTCGATCCAGTTGTTGTTAATGGCAAGCCCATTGACCAAACTACTAGTGCCAAAATACTAGGCCTTAACCTTACTAGGCCTTATTGCTGTTATTGATAATTTGTTATTGTTATTATTTTTATTATTTATTGTAAGCGCATTGAGATTCTTAAATGCGTATTAAGAACGTTCATTATTATTATTATTATTAACATCTCTAATGATTTTAAATGGAATTGTCACATTAACTCCATTGTTAAGAAAGCTAAAAACCGCTTGTATAGCTTATCTCAGCTTAACCGCTCTGCTCTTAGTACCCGTGAGTTAGTCCAGTTTTTCTGTACTTGTATTCGTCCGATTACAGAGTACGCTTGTCCTGTCTTTCATGACGGCCTCCCCGTGTACCTCTCCAACGAACTTGAAGAGGTACAAAAGCGGGCTAAGTGCATTATTTTTCCTCTTTGCTCATATAATGAGGCCTTGGTTGAATCAGGCCTGACTAAACTTTCAGATCGCCGCCAGAAACTAGTTGATAAACTATTTAAAAATGTTTTACAGAATGAACAGAACAAGTTCCATGAACTTCTTCCTGCTCGCAACACATGTACCTTTAACCTAAGAAATATGCGGAAGTTTAAGCCAGTTTTTAAGACGAACAGGTTGCGTAATAGTTTTATTACCTTCAATGCACTTAAGGCTTGAACGGTTTTAAATAACGGTTGTTTTAGAACATATATTTAGTGTCCTTATTGCTGTTTTAATACATTTAGTCTATTTAACGTAATTATCAATATTTAAAATTTGCAAATAATCGTATAATTAAACTTTTGGTTGCAAATCGGTTATTGATAAACTATCTATCTATCTATGTAAATTCTATTGGAAACTGGCCACTTGTGTTAATGCAAGGATTCACACAGTATTATTGTAGTAGACTGGTTTCAACAACAAAATAAATTTAAAAATCACAGGATTCAAAAGAACCTGAGCAAATGTACTAAAAGAACTATTTGTTTCAGGCTCAATGAATATTGATGAATAGTCCCTTGAAACTTTGTCTCAGGATAATTTAATAATTTTCACTTTGCAATTGGGGAATATTCATTAATTATTAAATTAAATACTGTTTCACCATCCCCAACCACTACCATCTTCCCTGCATACCAAATGCAGTGTGAGAAAAAATTAAAATTGGGTTTTTGTTTCTTTCAAATTAATCTTTTTAATGAGAACTAAAATCATTTCAAAGCATTGTCAGTTTGGTTTTATCTTGTAGACCCTACCAACCTAGATTATTACAGTCTGACCCAGATGCAGTTTTACACTGTTCTAAAAATTATACGATCTGAGGAAAGGTTTATTGCTCAGAATGTCGCTTTGTTAATTAAACAACTAAACTCTAGATACGGTAACCAGCCTAAATGTTTAATCCCAAGAGTGTTATAAATCTGCGAGCCAGCGAGCCATGCGAGCCAAGGGACGAGCCATGCGAGCCAAGGGACGAGCCATGCGAGCCAAGGGACGAGCCATGCGAGCCAAGGGACGAGCCATGCGAGCCAAGGGACGAGCCATGCGAGTCATGTGAGCCGCAGTCAAAATGTTAAGAAATTTCATTTGTTACATTTACATTTATTTGTTACATTTACTCTTCGAAGAACAAATTCACAGAAAAACACGGCATCAAGGCAATCGTTTCAAATTGATGAAATCCTAAACAATCTTTTCGCATCTCCGCGCAGATCCTGAATGAAATCGACCAAAAATGTCCATAAAAAATCAATTACTTACATCGAACTGATGATTTTTCAAGTACTGAAAGATGACAGCAGTTAATGTTGACAGACTAAATCCGATTTGACAAGAAGCGGCGTAGTAGAAGCATTTACCATCAGCTGGTGGGTCGAACGTTATCTTGAAACAAGCTTCTGCTACTCTGGTGGCGAGTTTTGAAGAAAGACTTGTCTAAGGGAAGGGCTAGACAACCACATGCAGCAGTCAGTCAACCGACAGAGTTTTGATAAGTGATTCACTAAAGAGCGAAGCTGTTAAAATTACGTGATTTACCCACCATTCTTGACGCCAATACACGGAGTTGCCCTGGAAGTGCTGTTCTCTTTTCTCTTGAATGATTTTCCACGTGGATATCAATGAACGACAGGAGTCAATGGATACCATTCAACCACCCATTCGAGTATCGGTAGGGCGGTGGAGCCGTACATTTTTCTCAGAAAATTTTTTTACTTAAGTCTTGCACCTTAATTAATTTTTGTCGCATGGTTTTTCATTTTTGCGGATCCTGAGCGATTTGAAGAGATAAAATTTTCTCTAAATAACAAAAATATGAAACAAACAAAAAAAATTCGTCCAACTCAGGACAGCCGTTACTATGAAGCAAGACTTGGCACGATGTACAAATGTTTAGAGCATTTTTCATATTTGACACACCAGCAATAGTTCTGGCAACCGAAGCGAGATTACGATTTTTTCTGGGAATATTTCAATTTTAAGCATTTTTGTAGCTAAATTTAAAATTAATTACCCAGGGAAAGAGAGAGTACCCTGGGAATGGGCAAGTAATTCATGGCAGTCTCCATATAGACTCCCTGTTACCCATTCTCCCTGTGTGCCCTGTGTACCCTGTGTACCCTGTGTATCCTGTGTACCCATGTGTACCCTGTGTATCCTGTGTACCTATGTGTACCCTGTGTACCCATGTATACCCTGTTTACCCATGTATACCCTGTTTACCCATGTATATCATGTATATCCTTGCATACTTCGTATACCCTGTCTACCTTGTGTACCCTGTACACCCTGTATTTAACAATTATTCCACGAGCGCGCGTTGGATATGAGATGATAGATAGCCAACGAGGCACGTAGCGCCGAGTTGGCTATAATCACCTCATATCC